TCTAACTCTTTACTAGGGAACATTTCCCCAAACCTTTTTCTTTTGGTGTAATTCAGTCATGTGATTTGTTTGGAAAGTTTGACAGTTCCCCTCTGTTACAATTCAGCTTATTAACTTATTAGTATTATTCCATATTTATTGAAGATATCACTGTACAAGTGTCACTGGTGCGACCATGCTATGATGACCTATAATCGCAGTCACTGTCAATGCTGTGTCTTTAATAGTCTGACATTAAATTAGTTTTGCATTTCAGTGTGAAAAAGTAGATCTTAACCAGGTGTTGCCTTACAAAATAACATCAAGGTCATTAGACAGAGAAAATAATTGTCTCAGTTCTCAGCACTGCTCAATATTTATTCTCTGAAAGCTGGTTTTGCTTGGCCAAATGTTTAATAGTGATGAAATGAAGCATCTTGTCACATCACGCAAGCCTCTGCTGTTTAGGGGTATTTGGTAAAAGACAATAAATAAAATAAACAAGTGGCGAGGGACTTATTGTGAGTCTCAGAAACTAAAAAAAACAGATAGCCTATAGATTTTTGTTCATGTGGTCAACAGTTTACTTAGCACCAGATTAGGTGCATTTCTCCCAATCTTACTTTGATCAGAGCTTTGTAGTCATCTCATAAAGACAACTGAAATGGGTTGACCTGAAAGAAGCAATGGGCCATTCTTACAAACTGAATCATGTACTCGTTATCTGTCTGATAGTTTTGATCAGACCATCGAGCACATGTGGAAGTTGATGTTCGACAAGCATTTGTGAGTAGATTTGTAATTACAACCAGTTTCTTGAGAGGAACCAGCTGTGATTTAATGGGGCTCCTGTTTTAGTATTCCAGTCCTAGCATTATCAGCTGGTGCAGATATTCTCCAAGCGCAAGCTCTTAACATCTATTTTACTTCAATGCTTGCCCTGCTACAGGTGATAAAATGTTACTGTACTACTAACATCTACATCTGAGGTTTTGCTTAATATTTGGCTTGCTTATCTCTTATATCCAGACATGCAGCTGAGGTGAGGGGAGGGATTCAGCTGACAAAGACGATAATTCGAATCTACCTTGAAAACATTAAAGTGTGAATTTATAAGTCAAGTTTCCTCGTATGGATAGGATATGGAGAATGTGTAGTGTAGCTAATTAGATCATTAATATTAGTAGCAAGGTTGTATGTTTACTATTAGATACAGATGCTACCACTATTTATGATATATGGGATATGCTGTTGGAAGATCAGGTACAAATGAAGCGGCAGTGAAGTTTAACCCCGGGTTCATCACGTATGACGAGGCTGACATCCTGCTTTGTGCATATTCAGTGGCTAAGGAAGAGATGCATGGCTGACAGTGTTGCTAGGAGACCACACACAGCGACTAGTGTGAGAGGCTTGATTTCACCTCCCTCCCCCATTCTTGTAGCCTGGCTGCCTTTCACTGTTTTTCTATCCTCTCTTTCTCACACTTGCTTCCATTTGCTTATTCCCTCCACTCTCAAATCCCCTGCTTCAACATTTCCTTCCATCAGTCTGTCTCCAGCACGTTTTCAGCCTAATCGTATGTATCTTCAGCCTCGTCCATCCCTCAGTGACTCCCTATTTATTGGCTTCCCCCCTTTTTCCACCGCGCCCCCTCCTGTCTCCTTCCCTCTGCCTCGATCTCTCCTTCTCTCTAGCTGTATGCATCTCAAGCTGCTCATTCTCCTCCTGAGCATTTTGCTCCGTCCTTGTACACTGCTTCCCCTCTGCCTCTCTCATCCTCTATCCCTGTCGCTGAACTGCAGCGCTGTGTCTGGCTCAAGTGCGCTGACTGTGGTGTATAATGTGGCTGCGTGGTTAAGTTATGATACCACTGGTGGCACTGGTGGCAGGGAAAAACTGAATAAACTCAAGCATATGTACAGTATCTTGTGTTTTCAAAATATATCAACTGATGAAGTGAGCCGTAAACATCAGCTTCTTTCCTACTTACCTTACTTACTGTCACTACTAAGTTGCAAAGTTTGATTGCAGTAATTTACTATTTAATTCAGGCTTATAGATGCAAGCATGTCAATCCTAGAACTGGATTTGCAGAAGAAGGAAGATGATGTCTTTAATGAACAACATGCTCTGTACTATCTGCCCCTTCAATCTAATTGCTTGTATTCAAGCAGCTTTGCAAAGGTAAATATATGGTATGACTGCTTTGTTCTGGAATGAAAAACGGAGGAGAGTTGTTATTTCAAATCAAATTTTCTGTGGATATAAGCAAAACAGAAAGAGATAATATACCCCAAGGTAATTAGATGTGTATTTTAAATATGTTTCATCGAAATATTGCCCCTGTGCCAAGGCCAGGCCAGTGCTGTGATGTGTCACACCACTCTGCATCGCTACTGCCTCACTCACATTGAGGTGCAGCAACACTAAAGGACCACTTGCTGAGGTGGAGACTTGAGGGCAGAGGGCTGCAGTGCAAAGAGTTCCAGAAGTGTTAAATTCAGTGGCAGCAAAAGATAAAAAGATTTCAGGCAGAAAATACCAATAATGCTCATGCTTTCTTACTCTCAAATGTTTTACATTTTCAAATTTTGTGTGGTTAATGATCTAAATTCCCTGTCATCAGTAACTCACACTCAAATCAGCTGCTGAGCGATTGCAATTACTGCTTCACACCCTGTCTGTATGCATGTGTTTAGCATGTATGGGGGATTTGAGTATGTGTGAGTGTGTGATCTGTTTGTTTATGTGCATGAATGAGTTGTCTGCAGCACTGCATGCAGATCTAGTTATATGAATCATGGCTCCATCTGCCTCCTGGTTCTAATGAGGAATTGAAGCGACTCCTGACTCGACAGATGCTCCTGAAACAACTTGCTAAATGTTCTGAATTTATTTGGGATTTAAAGTGACTCCAACCTATATTAGTGCATGTTTTGTTTGGGTCTTTAAAAATTATGTCTGTTGCCTAGTTTGATGAGACAAGGTTCTCTGTTATGAAGTGGAAAAAATGCCATAGGTATGAGTAAATAACTAAATGCAGAAATAAATGCATAATAAATACATTTTGGTAATGGATGTGGTTATTTCTGTATTTTTTACATTTATTTATTTATACATTTCTACATTCACTTATTTCTTTATATTTCTGCGTTCATTTGATTATTTATATCCACATTTATTTATTTCTGTGTCTGTATGTAAATTGGGTAGGCGGTCCTATCTCAGTCTAAAGCCAGATTGGTTACAGCAGTGTGATCATATTAACTACTACTGCCTTGACTTGACTGGCACACAGGAGAAATGTTGAATACAGAAATAGTACAGAAATAGATACATAAATGAATGCAGAAATACAGAAATAAATAATGTAGAAATACTAGAATTTTTCATCACCAAAATGTAATGAATTTATTTATTTGCATGTATTTATTCATTTATTTATTTATTTATACTTAATGGCATTTTTTGTCCTTCATAGTATGTGGATGTAAGATGAAGATCTGCTGGTTCTTTTAGCTCAGCTAATTGCACACCAACCCACAGCATTTAATGCGGCAATTGTAGGGCTGCCTGCTCAGCTGCCAGATCCTAGAAACCCAAATCAAAGCTCCCGTTAACAAAATCCCAACCTACAGTCGCAGCTCCCTAACCTAATTAACATTGAGTCAGCAAGCATGGCAGCAGCAGTGGCCGGGGTTGTGGTCAGGGCTGTGGGATACAAGAATAGCAGTAGCCACGCTGACATGCTGGATGACATGCTGAGCCGTGACAAAAGAATCACACACAGCTACACAGCTCAACATGCTGCCTGGCCCAGGTGACAGTGCCTGATGCTCCCACTGTGGAATTTTTTGTCTTTATAGTGAGACATGGTTGAGATTTTTAAGAACAGTAAAAACACTGTGCAGTTGTGTTGTGTGGTAGATGTGGCTTAAGTGGTCCTGAATATGTACAGAATTAGATTAGCTATTACACTGCTGGAAAATGCAAATGTCATGTATTTTTTATTCTCTTTTCATGCCGCTTGCATCCTTAAACAAGGAGTATAAAAGCATAATTTAGATCTCATTACACTGGACTCGCATGCAGTTTCATTGTAGCACATTGTGAATGCACATCAGTGATTTTTAGAAATATGAACTAGAAAAAATAATTGGTTATATATTTAACTTTATTTACTTTTCCTGCTATCTTCTCTGTGAGACAGAAAACCTGTCAATATGGGCCATTAAAATAATTAACCAGCAATGTTGCAACACAACCTATCAAGCTCAGCTTAATGCATCTCATGAAAGTGAAAATGCAAATGCAGTTCAGTTCAAAACAAACTGAAGCAGAAGCACCAATCATAATGCTCCTGTGTCCACTACCAAAAAACATTCAAGCTCTGTTTCTATTTGTGATGGAAAAAACACTGGAAACATGCATCAGCTGACAGCTGCGCTTTTCTTAGCCAATTGCGTTGCACACTCACATTCTCCATCATGAAAATACTGTTGGGCCCTCAGATATCTGCCCCACAACAAGCCTGACTTCTCATGGGGTGAGCGTGAGTAGGAAGCTGTGCATGCGCTACATATGACAAACCAGATTACTGTCTGGCTAGCAGACAGGCTTAGCTAGGCCATCCCAGGGCCTGCAGCCAGAGATGCTCTGCAGCTGAGTTACCATGCTTACTCAAATATTAATAACTGGATAATGAAAGTATAAATAGTTTTCATGTGATACACTAGAGGTAGGGATAAACAAAACTGCAACCTCCATCATCATGCATCACTGTGTCTTTGAAGACTTGTAGTAATGGGCAGGATTGTTTGCTATGACACAGTGAGCTTGATAAGCTATGACTCCCCTAAAGTTCTGCCAGTAATTTGGGTTTAATTATTTGGGTTTCATAGTCACATCACAAAGTAGTCACTGTCAATCTTGTCAGCTGCAAGAAGGCTGGGAGGCTGTTAAATTTGTTTTTTAATGATTAATGAGCTCAAACATTGCCCTTGTTTCTTTTTGTTTAGGTGAGTTGGAGGAGGCTGCCTGTGCCATACGTCTCCTTCTCCCAAGTCTTCTTCTATACCATGAGCTCTGGCTCAGCCCAGGATGTGGCAGTCGAGCATTTCCTGCGTGACATAGAGAGGCGAAGCAAGCGGCTACACTGCGCTGTCATAGGCTGCGAGGAGGAGCGACCCCGCAGCGACATGAACCTGCTGTATCGTAAGAGCCGTTTGGACTGGAGGCAGAGGGACCAAGAGGGAAGTAAAAAGAGGTGAGAGGATCAGCTCACAGGAGCTCTGCATATATGGAATTACATTAGGGTTCAGTTCAGCGGGGATATAAACCTCTTAGCCGGCGTGAATGAGTTTAATTTCAAAATCTTAATTCCAAGCACAGTTCATGAAGTCAGAGGGGTTCGCCTGAATAGAATTGGGCAAATTTGCATAACAGCAGTTCATAATGATGTTAATATGTTCCATAGATGAGATAAACTACTATAATGTCAGCTAAAATGGCAGAGGGCAAAAAGGGGCCAAAACCAATGAAAAAGGAAATTAAATACAGTTGTTGCTTCATTTATCTCAATACATACATGATTATTTTGTCTTTGAAATTACATATATTCATCAGAGGTTCTGACCTTTAAGGTATAATGAGACCAGTTGTTTTATTTCACAGCAATGTCAGATCACATGAATTTGTGTCATTCACTCCCAACAGTTTTCCCATTAAGCAAAATGAAAATACACACATTCCCTTACAGCTCTGTACAGGACGTTTTCCAAGAAGGGTGAAGAGAAGAGAAGGAGTGAATTAGAAAACCTTGCCTGTAACAAGCTTTTATGAAATATGTAGGAACAACAGGAAGTGCAGGCCTTGAAGCTGAACCTGTGGTAGAAAGTACATTTACTCAAGTACTGTACTTTTACATTAACATTTTTGATGTGCTTGCACTTTACTTGAATTTTTCTAATTTATGCCACTTAAAATATTTTACTCCCCTTTTTACTCCACTGCATTCATCTCATTTATCTGACAGCAATAGTTTTTGCTTGAGACCAGTTCTGGTTCCCAATCATTTTTGGCTTGTCATATTTCAGATGTCTGTGAGTTGGTAGCAGCTCCACCAAATAAAGAATTCTCTCTAAACTTCTCTGATGCAAATAACTGTTTGAGGTCCAGAGAGGTCAAATCCTCCAATATTTAGCATAAGCAAAGATTAGAGAAAAGTTGGTGAAAAAAAAAAAATCAATATAAATTTACGTAGCAGAATTTGTCCTACACCATTAATTAAGTCACGACCCCTCAGATTTATCTTGTGACCAGCACCCTTAGGTTGGGAACCATTGGACAAAGCTACTTAACAACAACACAACCCTGTCCAGCTATAATATTAAAGTGCTATTCATGCATTTATGCACCAGTATTCCCTATCTAATAATGTCAGATATAATACACTTGTGGGGGCAATTTTTATGCAGATTGAGTTATTTTACTTTCAATACTTCAAGTGCACTTTCCTGGTTATACTGTACGTATGTACTATACACACTGCAAGGTGCTGTGTGTATTCAGGGCTGTAACGACTAATGACGTATCAGATGCAGCTCCTGTCTTTGGATGTCGTCCAGCACAAGTGTCAAGTAATCATAATAATTCACAACACAGACTAAGTGCTGGTCTTGTCAATAATGTTAATAATAATTAAATCTTGTGTAAACATTATGTGATTTAGGGTCAAATGATATGTGATTTGTTTAAACTGAATTGTATTTAGAAATGCTGAAAGACAGCCAGGCAATCAAAAACAAACAAATTAATTTATAATAGAACTATTTCCAGCACTCAACAGAAGTGTCAAAACAGTTGTCAGCAGCAGAACATCATCACACTCTGAATCATAATTTGGTCATGACAGTATTGTCTTGAAAAGTGTGTGTATGCCCGTGAGAGTGTGATCTGATGTATCCGTGTGCATGTTTGGGTGACAGAGGACAGATGAAATGTTCAAATGTGAGTCACCTATAATTCACCAAATCCCACGTAGTGTATGGGGCTATTTGTGCCACTGAGGCGAGGGAGGACTTTAAAGACAACAATTCAGTTTGTTTAGAAGCGTGTTCCAGCACTTTGAGTCACAGCGGTAATTGGAGGCCCTCGTGTTGGCAGCAAAGATCAACGTCATGGCATCATCAAGCCAGTGGAGGTGTAGGGCCGCAAGTGGGACAGCGGGACATGATCAGTGATGAAAGCAGAGCCGAGTGGGGCCAGAGCAGCAGAGGTGAGAAGCAGGACATGACCAGTGATGATTACGGACAGAGCAGGGTCAGGGATGAAACCACACAGGGGACAAAGGGATGGAAACCAAATGGACTTGAGGCAGGACCGGGGCCGACTGCAGAGCCGGTGGGAGTGAGGGAGGTGGGGTGGGGGGTGGCGGGACAAAGGAAGCAGTATGAAGGGCACTGGGAGACAGTTTGAGATCTCAAAGCCCTCAGGAGAGACATCACATTTTTAAAGCAGAGTCGACTGTTGAGATACAGAATGGTAAATAGATGAGTTTCAATATGAGTTTTAAAAATAGAGAGTGTTTCTTATGGCACTAATACAGGCAGACAGACTATTCCCAGTAGTGGTGACTGGTGGAGGAAACCTTGCTGCCAGCTGAGGTTTTATTAATTCTTGCACAGAATTATGAGATCAGTGTGAATGGATGACCACGGGTGTAGCCTGGCAATTTCAATGTGTATGCTGAAATATGGAGGACCAAAAACAGCCTTGCAAATCCCTTTAAAGCAATTAATATTCAATTTGACAAAGAGGGATGAATAAAAGACAAAGTTTTCTGTCATTAAATGTATATAATATAATGGTGCATGGTTTGAATATATGAATTCTTTTATAAACAATCGAATTCAGAAATGAAATTGACAGTACAGCGTTTTAATGGTAAATAGATGACAGATTTCATAAATCAGTTTGATACAATTTTTAAAAAATAAGGTAAAATTATTGTTTTTTCCAACCTGAATTTGAAAGTTGGTTTCCCATTTATAGTCAAAGTCCTCATTCACATCACATACTAATGTCTTGTTATGGCAATTTCTTTTGCTATAAATCAATTAATCAATTTTTTATTTTTATTTTTTGTAAGTGTCCAAGGTAGGATGATGAATGGTTATAAGTTGTAAGTCTCTTTTAGATCTTGATCTATTTGCAAGTGCAAGGCCAAGTAGTGAGGTTTGATGAGAAATAACTTGCAGTCTGCTCAGTATTCAAGTTAAGAGTAGGTCAGTTTAGGCTTTACAGGCCTGAAGTGAATTAATAAAATGTATCTGAGTTTTGTATTAATTTTTGTAAGGAATAATTAGATTTGGAAATATTTCAATGCTAAAAGATAATGCGGCTTCTTCCTGAGGATTAGCACAACACTCCACTTATCTTAATGACACATCTGAGAGATTATGAACATTTTGTTGTTGTTAATTATGAGGTACAAAAAAGGACATTGTAAGATTTAAAATCTACATCATTTCTCTTCATTTCCTTTAGTGACACTGAACAACATTACAAATTCAGAGCAAAGCTAAAATTAATCCAACTGTATGAAATCATTGACCTGGTACTCACTATTACAACTACACTGTGTATAAGAAAAAGTTGAGAAAACACAAAACTAAAATTTTGAGTTAGGTGATTTAACTTTATTTCTGAAGTTTAGGCTTTGAGTTACTCTACTCCAAGTTAGAGGGACATTTTACATCCTCAAACCACTATCCTGCCAACAGTCACAATGAGTCTAGGATAATTGTTCCTCAGTATGAGCCCTATGATGGAAGTGCTTTATATGAATAAGGTCACTACAGTGCAGGAAATGTCTTCGTGCGGACATATTGTCATCATATTTTACATCATTTTAATTTTGAACTGAAAAGAGACCTGACTTCTCTGAGAGACATTTATAAAAAGACACATAATGGCCTCCATCATGTAACTTTTTCCATATTGTCAAAGCTGGTGCATGCAGGTAACACAACACCAGGGAAGGGCCCAAATGCAGATGCTGTAGCAGAGCAAATGCAGTTCACAGATTTATTTAAAAAAGTAAACAAGAGCTTACTGTATAAGATGGCGAGGCAAACAAAGACAAACAAATCCAGTAAGCGGTGACAAGAATCCAGGAAACAAGCAAAAAGGGTCAACATACAGGTAAGCCAGGTGAACATGTGGACCCAGGTCATGAAGCCCACATTAACCAAACAAAACATTCTGGCAGCTGAAAGGGGGGAAGATAAGATTATATATACACAAGGACTAATTGGCAAATGAGGAACCAGTGGAACAGAAAACTGGCGGGGAAAAACAAAAACGCAGCGTGAAACCACAACAGACACATAAGGAATATAATTTCAAAATAAAATAGGAAAAACTTAACATAGCATGAAGCTCACAGAGGGGCAGAGCATGACACAAATTAGGAAATATTACATATTAAGAAAAATATGAAAATAAGAAAATAAACAATGTTTCTTAATGACCTAATTTAATGAGTTAAGTAAACAATCCATTGGGCATTCAGTCAACTGAACTCATGAGTTTAAGCTCTGAAAATGGTAATTAAACAATTTTAACTAAAGTTAATACTATAGTTCTGCATTCCCCATGTTAAGAACATGTTAACAGAACTTTCTCACTTTGTATTGGCTTACAAATTAAGATTTAAAGTTTTCAAGCCTGACTTTTGCCAAAACATATTAGTTTGATTTGTTGGCACAATTTCTATTTTTTACTTGAAATGGTAATAGGCCTAATTTAAATTGCTATGGCCTAACAATTTGCAATTGTTATTTATGCCAAAGAATATAAGTTGCAATTTTTACAGCATATATATAGAACAAGTCTAGGTCAAAACCTAGTTTATGGCTGGACCATGTATGTGCAAAATTGAGGACATAGTTGAACACGGTACTTTCAATGGAAAGTAGCTAAGACCTACTGGAAAAGTCGCTAGATGATGTAATATGTTAATTAGCATATTTGTGACATTATCCCGTCATATTGGCATTCTGTCTATTGTCAACCAGTTTGTATCAGTTCTTGCTCATGGGCCAGTACTGGCTACTCACTTTTAAGAAAAGTAGCTAAGTTTTTTTTCCAAAAGGTTCCTGGATTTGTCACTAGGTGCATTTTTGAAAAAAGTCGGTAAAGGCCAATGGGAAAAGTCCAACACTTGGCCAGCCAATGGTGTAACTGGGTGTAACTTTATTACTCACTCAACTCTATCACTCACTCAGTCAGTCACAGACATTCGGGGATGTAGCACTTGACTGTGGCTGGTCTAGTCAAATAAACAGAAAACCAGTCCGAGATTCACATGTGTGTTATCTCCCTTTTATGCATACACCAACTCCACAGGAGAACCTTAACATCTGGATCACATGGCACGCCCCAAGCTTTAAAATCTGTTCAGTTTTGTTATGAAAACAATTTATTGCATCTGTCATGGCAACTGAATGTGAAAGTGTTCCTCATCATGTCAGCTTGCCCTCATGAACAGAGAAAAACAGTCCTTGACATATAAAGAAAAAACTTTAAAGTGAAGGTCAATGTCTAAAATGACTCTTGAGTTTCAGGCAGACAAAGATAGGTATTGTCTTGTTGTGGAAGCTTCAAGGAGTTCATATCCGTGTGGAGATGGAGTCATAAAAGGAAAATATATTTCAGTTGCTTCAGGGGAACCTACAACTATGTGTCACATGCTGACAAATAATACTACAATAATACTATTAGAAGAATCAATAGAGAAAACTTGTGCTTTATTGCTTTGAGTCAAGCCAAAAGGCAGTTTCACTTCTTATGTAATCTTCTTCCGGTGACAGAAGACGAGTCAGATTTTCAGTTTAAAACCATGCTGGGGACAACCCATAACTTTAGGCAATCAATTAAAGTGTCAAGTATTGTGTCAGATATGTCAGTGAAGTCCAACAGAATGAGGACAGCTACACATTTAGCTGCTCAACCTTAACTCATCTGAAACTTTAACAAGAGACGACTTAACTGCTCTGCTTTGCCCTCAAACCAGAATGGGTATTCTCAAAGATAATAGTTTCACAGATAGTCTCATTCAGCTGTTTAAACATAAACCACTCTTAAACTTTGCCCCAAGAAGGTAAATTAGAAATAGGACGGTAGGTGCTAGGGGCAGAATTATCTTAACTGGATTTCTTCAACAAAAACTTTATCACCAGTCTGAAAAGCTTCTGGGAATGTCTTCCACTCTGAGGAGGGGGTAGTCTGTACAAAGATAAATCTAACAAAGGTGTTCTTCAAAAGGCTACAGAGCAGCAGTGGATAACTTTTGATTGACAGGGACTATGATGTGCATTCCTCCTTCCTTCTTTCTGGAGCATACTGTCATGAATATTTAACCTTTGCTGGCAGTCGTGTGATTTTCATGATGACAAATACAGAAAATTGTATTAAAGCATAAACATTTGCGCTTGATCGTATCGTAGAGCATTTTGCTAGAAATCATGTAGAGTTGCCTTAGATTTATGCAGGCAAATAATTTCCTGATTTGGACAAACCGAGAAAGGTGCAGACGAAACTTTCCTGAAATATTTCTGATCTATTCTTGATTAAAACAGCACAATGGGTAATGTGAGGATAAGACATTTGTACAGTATAAGAGCTATAGCGAGTAATCAACGCATTCTGAATTAGCAATTTTCAACTCACTCTCTAGTACCGATTTTCATTTGAATAGTGCACAAGAGTCAGAAACACAGTTAGATGAGAAGAGGGATAACACTCTACTATCTCTCCGCTTAGTATATTTTATGTGTGGGACTGTTTAGCTCCTTGCTAAGAAATAGTCCCACACATATAACCCCCTGAAAACCACAGTTTTTGTAGGCATTAAACAAACAAATGAACAATTCTTAATCTGTGTGCTTTTGAGATGCTGTTAAGTGGATTTTGTTACCTTCAGACAGAGCCAGGCTAACAGTTTCAGTCTTAATGCTATGCTTTATGCTGGCAAGAAAGTGAATTAATGTATTTCTGAAAATGTGAAACTAATGCTTGAAGTGTTGGTTACTGTACATTAGGGTCCCAGTGTAAAGCAGCAAGAAAGAGAAGCGAATAAAAAGGTGAGGGTCCAGATTTTTGAACAGTTCAGTCTCGGTTGAAGATGCTGAAAGATTCTTCTGCCCTAAGAAGAAGTAAGAAAAGAAAACAGAGCACTTCAAGGTGCTAGAAGGAGCTGCTCAGCCTCTGTTCTGGGCTATATTTGGCCCTGTAGTATCTATGTCGATTGTGAGGAGTCACAAGTACATCTCCACAGGCGTTCAAGGGCACAAACATACTCGTACAGATGCAAACACACTCTGTTGCTGAACCACACACATAAACACACATATTCAAGCACTGACACACACTGCCTCACACATGAGGAAGAAAATAGGAGCCTCTGTGTTCTTCATGATGAGCAGCCCCAATACTGCTTCTGCTGCTTTCAATGTTGACTACAAACTGTAAGCTCCAATTGTTTTCTTCTGTGCTTCACTGGATTGCAACTGATCAAAAAGTGAGCGCTACATGACCCACAGTCATATGTCACCATTATGTGCTATAATGAATCACTTACATGCAGAATAATCATGCATTTGAGCTATTTAATTACACACTCAGAAACACAATTTCTCGCAGCATCAAATGTGTGGACAGATGTGGATAGCCAGATGTGTCTGTGCTGAGATGTGATCAAAACAAACCTGGAACAAGAATCAGCCTTATGAGGCTGTGATTTCCTCCTGCATCACTGCAGTGAATTCTGGTATCTTTCCTTCTGATAGTATTTCCACCACCACCTTTTTTTGCTCTGCTCTGACATGTTGTGTAAGTATAGTAATTTCACAGTAGCCTTGTTACTAAAAAGTTATATGGGCAAAGCAAATAAACCTTATTCAAGCCAAGTTGGCTTTAAGGCCAGGGACATATCTTATGTTGCTGTGAGAGGAAGCAGCATAACACACAACATCAGAAGCCATTTTGTAATCCTTTGGTGAACTCAGTGGGTCATCAAACCTCACAGTTTTATATCAACAACCTGAACCACTGACACTGATGCCTGAACTGTGCTCTGACATATTTATAACACCCTTCAAAATTCATTATTCTTTTATTTTGATGTTAACAAGACCATAGAGTTTAATAAAAAAGCATATACTGCATATTTTACATGCTCTGTTGGGGAGTGACAGTTTGGTAAAACACTGATTTTTTTTGTCAGATTTTTATTTTTTATTTTTTGTTGTTGGCGCTCGTATCATTGATGATTTCAAAGACAAACCATCACATAAATGAAAATCACAACTGTTCCCATGGTAACAGATTAAATGCTTCTGGCAAAAACAGACTACAGATGTTGGCTGAGGATATAAAGATATAAAGAATAAGGGAATGCATATACTGCATATTTTACATGCTCTGTTGGGGAGTGACAGTTTGGTAAAACACTGATTTTTTTTGTCAGATTTTTATTTTTTATTTTTTGTTGTTGGCGCTCGTATCATTGATGATTTCAAAGACAAACCATCACATAAATGAAAATCACAACTGTTCCCATGGTAACAGATTAAATGCTTCTGGCAAAAACAGACTACAGATGTTGGCTGAGGATATAAAGATATAAAGAATAAGGGAATTCCAGCAACACAGTGTACACAGAGAGTTCTTTGGGAATTGATTTCCTAATTGAATCTGTTTGAGGGGGAAGCAGATGTGGAGGAATTCAGATGGAAAGATATGTGAATGCAAAAGATGGAGGAGCCTCCAGGGCTTTCCCTTTTGCCGTGAAAGCCCTGCAGGCATTTCTTTATTGCAAAAGCAATGCTTGAAGACCAAAGACAGAGTGAGGAAAGAGGGAGGTCAATATAAAGGGTAGTACATGAATGTTTTTCACTTCACTATGATTTTTTCATACTTCAATATTTTACTTCCATCCGCACCTTCCCAACCCCATTCCCAAATTGCAGCTCTACCCAAAACGACCCCTCAGCTACTGTTGGCAAAGTCCGAGACTTGGCTTCCTTCCGCCGGCACTTCCGGATGGGTTTCATGACCATGCCGGCCTCCCAGGACCTGTCCCCTCACTCCTGTGCCTCCGCCATGGCGCCACGCTCGCAGTCCTGCCATGCTGTCGGTGCTGGGGACACGAGTCTAGAGAACGGAGATTACTCTGACACCCAATCCCAACATGGTGGCCGCTGCCCCCCAGCCAAACCCAAACGCCACCCAAGCACTCGCCTCAGCTCCTCGTCCGCTGACAGCAGAGGACCTCCTGAGACGCCGCCCCCTCCTCCGCCCACTCACTCACAGGCCAAACACTCAGAGAAGAAAAATGGTAAGAATGTGTGTTCAGGTGGTTATTCTACTGAGAAAAATGATCTATTTTCTTGACTTGCTTTTTTTTTCATCGTACAGCCATGAAGAAGTCTGACTCTGGAGAGATTGGAGCAAAGAAGGTGCCTCCTTTAAAGCCCAAGAGAAGTCCCAGCACCCAGCTTTCCTTTGACCCTCTTCCTCCACGTGTGCCTCCTGCCACATCCCTGCCTTTCCAGGCAGCAGACTCTCAAAATCAGACAGCAGACGGGGAGGATGAGCCAGTCTATATAGAGATGGTGGGCCAAGTGTTCACCAGAGACAGCCAGACGGCCACCCCCCACCCTGTCACCCCTGTGGCCACCACACCTGACTCTGACTCAGACCAGAGTGAGGCCATCTATGAGGAGATGAAATATCCGCTGCAAGAGGACAGAGAGTCCCAGAGACACCTCCCTCCCAAACATGAGAAACTGAAAACCTCTAAACACTTCCATGTCACCCCCTCCTCCTCCAGCAGCTCCTCCTCTTTGCCCCGCCCCTCTTCCTCCTCTCCTTCCTACTCCAAACCCAAAGCTACTGTGTCGATTTCTCATTCGTCTCCTCTGCCTTCCTCCGCATCCTCCACCCCTGTCCCCCAGGTCCTCTCCACCAGTCCGCACACCCCACGTGCTCCTACTCCCTACCTGCTGCAAGGGAGTAAATCTGAGCCTGAGGCCAACACAAAGATCCCAGCCCCTTTCCCCAATCTTCTACAGCACCGGCCCCCGCTGCTTGCCTTCCCTCAGCCTGCAGCAGCCTCCAGCGGGGTTGGGGTGCAAAACAAGGCGTCTGCTTCTGTTAAAATGGGAACTCAAACATCCAGTGTGACGACTCAAGCCAACGCCTCCTCCTCATCCTCTTCTAATGTTCCTGTATCCCTGTCAGGCTCCAAGGAGTCATCAGGAGGAAGTGCAAGCCAGCAGGACAAACACAGCAGAGATTCCCAGTTAGGCCCAGCTCCTGGACTGAGAGCCAGGAGTCACTCCACACCCTTGCCCCCCTCCTCTAAATCCACCTCACCTTTCTCCCATCACCACCACCACCCTCACCATCGCCCCTCACACTATCATCACTATCGCAAGCCAGAGAGAGGAGACTCTCCTGCTCCAACCAAGAGCAGCTCTCAAGGTTCAAACCAGGCCACGGTCCAGACCCAAACCTCAAGTACAGGAAAGGAAGGCAAGTCTGTTAGCTTCCTCTTGAAGTCCGATAAAGGAGAGAGGGATAAGGATAGGGACAGGGACAAGGACAGGGACAAGGATAGGGACAGGGACAGAGACAGAGACAGAGAGAGAGACAGAGACAGAGACAGAGACAGAGAGAGAGACAGAGACAGAGAGAGGGATAGGGATAGGGGTAGAGACAGGGACAGGGAGAGAGACAGAGATAAGGAGAAAGACAGAGACAGAGACAGAGACAGAGATAGGGATAAGGACAGGGACAGAGAAAGAGAAAGGGATCGGGATAGGGATGGAGGGCCTCACTCCTTACAGATGGATAGTGCTACCACCTGTAGCAGCCAAGCATCTCAAAGCAGCACCAGCTCAACCCCTACGCCATTATCCTCATCCCAGCGTCCTCATTCTCGCCCACATCTCCGCTCTCACACTCCACACGGCCTGCCAGCGTACAAGCCGCCCTCTTCAGACAGCCCACTGCTGTGGACCTACCCCTCTGGTGGCTTCCGGAGGCCGCCGGCTTACGAGAGCCTGAGAGGGAGTTCTCAGACGCCGTCTCTGCAACAGCCCTCGAGTCTTACTGGTATAGGTGAGGGGGCGTCCAAGGCTAATGGAGGGTCTGCATCCCTCCAGTCAAAAGTTGGCTTCATGCCCTGGGACAGCAGTGCCAGCTTAGCTGCAGATGAGGGGTCTTACTGGCCTATGCAGAGGAAGTTGTCCTTCAGCCATGGGAGCAGAGAGACAGAGAGTAAGTCAGAGGTCATTTTGAATAAAAGGTGCTAGAGATGCTTTATTGAAAAAAAGGCTTGTTAACGTATCTTTTTCTTCATTGAAATACTCAACTTGTTCATTCCCCTGTCTCAGAGGATGAAGGGCGTGCGTGGAATGGCAGTGCTGATGCCCTGTTAAGGATGGATAAAGAGGATCTTGGGATCGGGTCGCGAGGCGGCCACTCAGGCATCCCGGTCCACTTCAGTGGTGCCACCAGCAGGGCCCTAGGTCACAGTGAGTCCTTGGCTGGTGTGGATAGCAGCCTGGGATTCAGAGCCCTACCCAGAGTAGGGATGCCTCTTCCCTGCCAGACCTTCCCTGCCTGTCGCAATGGAGGTAGGCAAACACAGTGTTCATAATCTTTTACTCACAGATCCTCACCACAACATCCTATTTAGAAAGGAACTTCATCAGTGGATTTACATGGTGATTCTTCTGCTGGCTCAGCTGTGGCTTTTAAACTTGGACAGCTTACTTGTTTTTTGCCATTGTTTGACACCAAATGTGGTTTTAAACCTCCAGAATTTAGGAAAGGATGGAAATCTAGGAGAGACTAGACCCCTCCTCTCCTCTCCTCTCCTCTCCTCTCCTCTCCTCTCCTCTCCTCTCCTTGCCTTGCCTTCTCTCTTCTTCTCTTCCTCCAGTACATCCTCCTGTACTGAAGTTAGTCTTGAAGCTCTGTGTCTCTTTGTCAGCCTCTGCATCTGCTCTCAAGGCCTTTATCTGGAGATAGACAGACAGTGCTTACCTTGAGAATCAGTGCAATACTTTCCTTGAAGCAGAGCCCATAAAATAAGTGTTCCATAAACAGGCCCATATCCCTGCACACACATATTCATGAGCCCTGGTCCTATCCCATGGTGTTTAGGATTTCCATTGTGACAGACCTTGTTGTATAAAACACTTTAGAACTAACTTAGATTTAGTTATGTGAGCTAAGTACATACACAGTGTGCAATTTACAGGTAAGCCTTTAATCAAAGTGATATTACAGAAATGTTTAAAGCAGTCACTGCCTGTAACCCAACATTACCACCACCAATACTTAACAGTCTGTCTCACAATTAGATCACTTTTTTAACTTTGTGTTAAACTTATTTTTTACTTTGCAAATATGTTTTTTAGAAGACTGGATAAATTACAGATTAGGATCACACCACAAAAATTAAATCACGTTTTCCTGTCCAATAAATTTAATGGGAATTTGTTTACAAGACAATATGCGACAGACAAACACTGAGAGAGTGAAACAGTGAAACAGGAACAAATCTCAGTGAAAACTTGTCTACATTGCTTTAATACTCGTTCACAAGTGTATGGGTTTTTTATAATTGTCTAGTAGCTTAAAATAAAATGTGTAAACGCAATGTACAGAGACTGTCTCAACTCACATGAGTATGGTTAGACATCCACAGCTCCGTGTACTGTGTTAAAATGAAAAGTTATATTACAGTGTTCTCATTAGCAGGCACACAGTGTAATGTTTGTTTCTTCACAGAAGTGGGGCGGCTGGGCCGCTCCTCCTCTGCTGCTGGAGTGAGACAGGTGGGTGGAGATGTCCAGAGACAGAGCAGTCTACCAGCACGAGAAGCCCTGAATCAGGTGAATATATAGTATAATACCCGTCCTTATAGCTATAGACTCTATTAACTTCATTCATGGTAGATTACAGAATGAGCATTAATATTGTTCTCATTATTACTTCCCCTCCTGCTAGATACAGTGCTCCTGCAGATCTATTTATAGCTGGTAGATATGCCCCCATGAGCAGAATAAGGTTCTGGCCTGCCTGAAAAGAGTAAGAGCTTCAAAGGTACATGACGTAGGTTCATATGTAATCAGTGACTGAGTAGTGGATGAGAGAACATGCTGTTCTGTGTTTTGGAGAGATGAGCTGCATTCTTCGACCGGTGCATTTTGCCCAGATTCTGGCTGCATAGCAAGTGCTGACGCAGTTTGAGTGTGCTGCAGAGACTGTCTGCATGCGTCTGGTTGACCCTCCCTCAACCTGTAATAGATGAGGCAGCGCTGCATCCTGGTGGTTGTCCAGAGGAACTGCAGTTTTATTTAACATCTTAGGAGTGGTTGTCACCGTTTACAGCACTGCAGTGATCTTTCATGTATTGTAGAAACTTAATACTAATATACTATACTATACTAATATCACGAAACACCATATGAATTCAGTGACTTGACTTTTTCCAGCTGCATGGCCTGGCCCAGCCTCAAGTGCCCTGCAGTCCCAGCAGTCCCAGTGTGTCTCGACAGCAGCAGCAGCTTCAGCTCCACCAGCAGCAGCTGCAGTTAAAGCAGCAGCTCCAGCAGCTTCAGCAACAGCACCATCTGCAGTTGCAGTTCCAGCAGCTCGCCCAGCTGGCACAGGGACAGCCTTCTGTCAGCGGAGGCACCACCCCATCCACAACGCAGACCCAGAGAGATGGCAAGCTGCTGGAAGTCATTGAGCGTAAACGCTGCCTGTGCAAAGAGATCAAGGCCCACAGGCGCCCTGACAAAAGCCTGTGCAAGCAGGACAGCATGCCCATCCTCCCTAGCTGGAGACGGACACCTGAGCCTCGTAAGACTGGCACACCACCTTGCCAGAGGCCACAAGCCGTCGTGTGGGACACGGCTATCTGAGGTGGGACAAAACACGCAGATGAGTTGAAGATGGTTGAACAATTAATAAGAGATGAGAGTAAAAATGGGTTCAGAAACTGGAATATTCTTGGTTTGTGGTGAGATGATTGCCACAGAGGGAGGAAAGATTTTGGACAAAGAAGAATTTGCAAGCACTCTTCCTGTGTGATAAACTGACTGGGGAACAGTAATGGGTTATTGGAGATTGAACTCATTTGGAAACAACCATCAAAAAAAGGCTGATAAAAGATGTGAAGAAAAAGAAGTATTACAATCAGACTAAATTAATTTCTTACCCAGTTGATTTGTACTTGCTCTCTACGATGTACTACATTGATGTGTTCTAATTGCCAATGATTTTTGCCACAAAACACCAGTACTATTGCTACAAAATGAAGACACCAACTAAACAATAATGGGTGGGATGTTTTCTGTGATTGGTGTTGCCAAATTTCCTCCTGACTACTTGAGACATATTTTCTCCAACACACAGTTGTCCAACACGCATATAAACTGCTTTGTGGGTGAGAAAAGGCAAGATTCATTGATAAGTTATTGAAGTGTTTCTTGAAATCGTGAATGCATATGAGATGTCTTGGTATCAATAGATTGTCATTGTGGATGCAAATAATCATCACTGAGGAGTAAAAGCTACCTACTGTATCTGTTTGCATATTTGTAATGTATCTATTTACTTTCTCAACGTTTCTGCAATTTTATAGCAATATGCTCCCAATGCCGGAGCAACATAATTAAAACTTGTGTCAACTAGCCTAACATACATATCTAAGACTTGAATAAGTCATATTTACTGTGTCATTCTCTGCATGTCACAATAGACATACAGTATTGTAAAAAAAAATATATAAATATATAAATGTGTAGAGATGATCATGTCAGACTTTTACATACAGCAGATCTTCACTATGATAATATCATGTGGTTGTATAAAAAGATGAATATGTTGCTTGGGGTATCATTAAAAAAGGTGGTGTGACAGATGGCACATACTGTGCAGTCCAGTCAATCAATAGGTCCAGATCAGTGGTACACAAACTTCATCACTCATGCTTACCCACAGTTGCACATAAGTGATTGTTCCTCCACACAGAAAAACAAGCACTGACACCCATCAACACAGACTGTACAATATGGTGCAACTGATAAGACTGTGAGTATTGATCACCTCAAACAGAATGCTGGAACAATCTGCACAAAACATGGTATACGCTTAGGAGAAATTAAACCCTAATGTACTGTAAATAGATATGTACAACTGTATTGAAAATGTAGCAGTTATTTCCATTTTCATACTTGTAATCAGTACATATTATGTAGCATATACTGTATAAACATAACTTTGTTCACTTGTTTTTTCTAAAAGAATTAAGTACTTTATCTGCTGCAGCCACTCCATGCATTACTTATAGTTGTACTAATAAACAGTAAGCCCTCTAATGAAAGGCACAGTCCAACAGTTGTTTATTTAAATTTATGCAAGACTCCCTTTAAGCTGTGTTATTGTTTTATTTATGTCTTTTTTTTCTACATTCATTTTTATTTGTGTACAGATTTCTTGATTTTTGGAATACTTTGCTGCTATCTTGAACTACAGGTGTTGTTCATTCAACTACATGGTGTTACCATGAGAAACATTATTAATATAGTGGTTATTGTTACATATTTGTTTTATAAGCCACGTGAAATGAAGTTTGTACCTTGAAGAGTGAGCCCTTCTGTAATAGTATTAAGGCACTTGAATGTCTCTTGGTTGTTGTTGTTTTATGATAGTTAGCACCAAACTGTACAGTACAGTACACCCATTGAAAAGAAGACCTATCTAAATGTTTGAGAGTCACTGCTTGGCCTTTTGTTTTAGTTCCACCTGCTTGTGTTTGACAGTCGAGGGTTTTCGAGCTCACTGAGTCCATTTTCAAACAAACACAGGTCAGGTTGATGGAAATGGGCAAGTGCAATGCATGCAGAGATTCCTTATACTGAAAATGTCCCAATGATACTGACTATTGTGCCCAATTTAATTTCAGATACCAAGTAATCACCTTACTATGATTCCTTTTCACAGACTGATATGGAACCCTAGGTATCATTTCCCGAAATAGTTTACAGAAGCTGTTGGTTTTGTGTGTCTACTAAAACAGTGGCCATTATATGAGTGCCATACTATATTGATATGGTAAGATACGGTGTACCTTGGAAATCACTGTAGTGCTATATTTGCATTGATATTGTCATTAAAATAAATTTTATATAATGAACTTTACACAACAAACAGAATTTTTGCATGTTTTCATGCCTCATGTTGTTTTCCAGCGGAGATGCTGGGGAAGTGGACATTATGTTCCCTCTGCACTTCTGCAGCAGGTGTTGCAACACCCACAGTTTCCAAATGAGGGCGCTACTCCACTCCCCACTGCTGCTCCTGCTGCTGTTGCTGCTGTTGGTGTGGCTTTGTGCAGTCACCGCGTCAGTACAGCACACACAAGCAGTTGTATCCAGACTCAGACTAATCCATCAGACCTTAAACACCCTTCATAGTTTGAACTGAAAACCCTTACCTCAGTTATTACCCAAAAGTCGAATGGTTAGCACGGGATTCCACTAACAGCAAGCACCACAGCATATTTTAACCTGTCCCTAGCTTCCAATCTGCTGCCACTGCAAACATGTCATTTGGGATAGATGAGATAAATATTAACAAATATGAGGTTTAAACAAATCACATCAGCTGATGCAGTTGTCTAGATAGACTAACAGACTTCTCATTTATTGTGACAAAATAAACTTCAGACAGCAGGCCTCTATGACACCTGGCCCCTGGCTCACTCAACCACTGATTTTAATTAGGAAATATGAGATAAATAATAACGCCCCTGTGGTTGGGCTATAATAGCAACATGGTGCTAATTTCCAGATCGATAATTAAGTACAATAAGGGGCCTATACATTTATCACCGAGTAACACAGACACTTTAGATCCCTTTAGGAATATCAGAGGGATATTTTGCAGATTTTTCTATGGGGACGTGACGATACGGACCTGGAAGCCTATGAAACGATGCCCTCAGCCACCATACCATTTGCTGGCGAGGTTGTCTTTCATGCGTCAGGGTCTGTGAGGAGGGAGGATGTGGCGCAGGTGATTGGCCGGGGATAGAGGATGAGGTTGAAGTGGGTGGGATTTGGAGAGGGTGGGGGTGCATGTAGAGAGAGGCGGAGGGAGTGCTTTACCGCAGTATCACTAGATTTCTGCAGCACTCATCAAAACTCTGCGGCATGCAGACAGGAGCTGGGGGGGAGGGCAGTTACTAGGTCTGTGCTGAGTGTACGGCTGCTGCCTCTCTTCGTCTGTTTCTGTTATTAGATAGTCTGCAGTGGTGTTTTGAAGCTTTTAGGTAGACCTCTTGAATTGCCTCTCCTCTGCACGGTGGTACAGTAGAGCTCTCTATCTCTCTCTCGCTCCCTCTCTCTGCTGTCTGGCAAATTGTTTCAACCCGGTGCTTATTGCATAAGGGCGCATTTAGTAGAGGTCCAAACTTTTATGACAAAATGGCCAAGGATGGAGAAAAAAGCGAATGGAAGGAGTTTATATGGAACCCGAGGACGAGGGAGTTTCTGGGCAGGACGGCGAGCAGCTGGGGTAAGTACTGTCCAGCTACAGCAATGCAGCAAACATGGTCCCTCTGCCCTGTAACAGGTCTCTGTCTTAGTCTCCTCAGCCTTTCCTACAGGTTCAGCGGAGGACTCCTTCCGAAATGCTTATGCCATGACTATAATGTAAATTTGACCCTGATTGAAGTTGTCTAAGTTGATTATTTCCCCTCAGTGTTCAGGTGATGAGATGGCTGTCGCTGTCTACTACAGCCTGGTGCTGGAATCAGAATGCGGCACCGCTCCCGTGGAAGCCGGCGGAAAAAATCCTCCTGCCTATTTTTTTTCCGTATATATAGATATATATCTATATATCTATATATCTCTATATATAAATGCATATATTTGTTTATTAATTTATGCAACTGCTTCCCCTGCGCAATGCGCTCAACATAAGGGTGGGGGAATATGGTCTTATTTTGCATTTGAATGTGCCAGATGACTGCAGCATTGCCGAAACAGGTTCCACTCTGTTGCAAAGTGCATATCATCAGCTCCCTCCTCTCTGTGGCAGAGTGCTTCAGCTACAGCTTCAACATGAATTTTGCTGCAGAGAAGACTTTTTGTAGGGAGATGGCTCGCTGAAGTTGAACATTGAGATTGGGTTGTGTGCCTGTAGCTGTACATGATGTCATTCATTTTCTGGTTTATCCCCCCCCACCCCCCACCCTCCACCCCCACCCGAGATTTTGAAGGGAGATCCAACCCCAGCCTCTGTCTAACTCAATATATTGCCTTGTTCTGCTGTCCTCTTTTCTGCAACCAGCCTGCAACTATTTCAAAGATTCATGAAATGATAGGGCGCATATGGCTCTGTTCTAATGACATTGGAGCGTTTTAATCTGGGTAAAGCCGAGGGCCAAATGCTATTTGTATCACCTCCAACTCGGCCCCTCCCAGTGTGTGTAAATCAGTGAGGGACCTAATCCTAATCTAATGACTTCATTGGCTGATGGGGAAGGTATCAATTCAGGACATTCTTGCAAACTAAACCACTCTCAGGAATTTAGACTATTTTTGATCTTTTCCATTAGAGACATCATCTTCATGACAAAAATGAAGTTCTTTGTTTGTGGTCGAAATAACGCTGAAAGTGGTTTTACATGCAATGGTATTCTGTTGATGATGTTTCATGAATGGACATTTGTACTATTCGTGCAGAGTTGGGAATCATTGACTGTAGCTTTCTTTGCTGGAATCCTCCCACAGTGTACGACTTAATCCAGCTCAACGCGTCCCAGGTGCTTTAAGGTCTGGTGGCCTTTTTAAGCTGTGCTCTCTAAGGCTTGTTAATTAAGCTATTTCTGTAGTCAGTCAATACATGCAGGTATGCTAAACTTGACATTTCACCTTGGCACTTCCTCATTCTCCTAATGATGCAGACATTGTACGTACTGTACCTCTGCTTCCACTTGTTTGACTTTGACTGGCTTTATCTACAGTCCATCCATTTTCTATACCCACTTGTCTCAACATGCAATCAGGAAATGGAAAGAACACACCCTAGTCAGGTTTCCAGTCTCCTTAAAAGACACAATTCTTGTTTACAGTTATTTTTATGCAGTATAATGTTAATTCACAGCATTAGATCAAAGGCTTCTTTGAGGATGAAACACAGAACACATCATTGTGTGTCCCGCTTTGCATAAAGAGCTATAATGATATGGAAATAGCCCTGATAAAGTGGAACGGTCCTGCAATTTTGATGTTACATTGCCACCAGCTGACACCAGGCAAACATGGTCAAACAACTACTTCTATTTAAAATAGGACTAATTAAGTGTTCTGCACCTCCCACTTCCAAAAACAACAAAAGGCTCTTACTGGAACATGGGGAAAGAGCCTTAAAAGGAACAAAATTATGATGCTGCTCTTTCTGTATGACAACACACTATATATACACTATATACAAGATAATAATTAGTTTAACAATTAAATAGCCACAGCTCAAAGCTATCCATCCTCTCTCAAGACCTTTTAATTTTTAGTTCCGAGGCATGTTTATCATCAATCTACAAAGCAAATGAACACCATGTCCTCCTAATTAATTCTGAAAGAAAAGAGACACCTCCCATCATTATCACTGAAGAAAGAACAGGATGCTGAACCATCTCACCCCGTCCTTTTGTTCTCTGCTTTCAACTGCCGTCTGCGAACAAAACCATGGTGAAAGAGAGATGCTTCACTGTCCATCATCAGCGTGGACTGAGAGGGCAGACTGTAAACCTAACACCCTCTTTGCCAGGGGGAAAGCCACCCTGTCTGCACGCTTGACCCTGTATACACGTGTGCACATCTAGTCTCCCCTGGGTGGTGTCATATTTGTGGTTAGCACAACGTCCCTCTGAATGATGGAGAAAAACTCATAAACATTTTGCTTTGTCACATCTCACCTCTGATGCCTCGCTCGCTCTAGTGCCTCCAGCTTGGTCCGGGGCCTGGAGCCTGACTCTGTATATATTTAATGACTCAGCTTTGGTCTTTTCCATGCTACAGATGGGATGCTCACTGAAGTCTTACTCAGCCATTCATTAATTTCACTTTGGATTCCAATAATTCAAGGAACAATTGGATGAAAAAAAAACAACCCCTCTATAACTGCCCCCTGTGGAGCAGCTTCCCTTTGACATTTTGTTATGGATTCCTGTAAGCCTGGCTGTGTGGGGAGGTAGATGCAGCACTGAGCCTGCTGACAGAGCGAGTGAGCTCCATGCTGGGGGCCATCCAGCAGAGGCACAGGGTCAGGGCACTCAGCTGCTACCCAATGCTGGCCTCAGGTGTTGATGCTTAAAATGGGGGATGTGTCATAGAAAATGCTATTTATGTTTTCCTGCTCTCTACGTTGACAAGAATGCCTGAGAGGGGACCAAACAGCAGCTTCAAAGGAATTTACTGATTTCAGTTATAAAATAGAATATAATATATAATATAAATAATAAATAATAATAAAATAAATTATATATATATAGATATATATGTTATGTATATGTTTGTAGGTATATATACATACACACACACACACACACATATATATATATATATATATATACACATATATGTATGCACCTGTATATTGTATATACAGAAAAAGGATACATTTATTAATTTATTGATTAGAAAAACAATCATTAGTTGCAGCCCTACTCTCTGTCTAATGTAACATTATCACTATGATCTTCTTACACTGTTCATGAAATAGGCCTAGTCCATGATGGCCTGTAATCTCCTGACCCTGTGGATCAGTCTCCAGGGGGTCCTTGTTCTCCCTCCTCCTGTATCCCCCTCTGTCATCGTTCCTCCTGCTCTGCGGACAGGGCAACTCCATAATGAAATTGGTCAGACACCAGCCGTTCAGTCCTTGGTTTAATTCACACTGTTTCAGGCTTGGAGACAGACTACAGTTATGTGTCAGTCAAGTGGATGGAGCAAATCAAGCATTAACATACAGTTGTTTATGTTCTGACCATTAATTGATAAAAGTAACTTCATTTTAGAGCATGTTGTGTATTTAATGATATTTTCCGTGTCTGAAGGACGGTTGTTCGTGTGTGTGTGTGTGTGTGTGTGAGAGAGAGAGAGAGAGAGAGAGAGGCAGATGTTGCAGATGGAATGAAGCCTCTAGTTTAATGAGGATTATCTGGCCTCCTGCGTACATGTTTGGTCCGAAAGTGAACAGACGCAACACGGCAATAGCAACAGCAACATTTAATTAAAATGAGCTAATTCCATTATCAATTCAGATGCAAGATTATTCATACTTAAAAATGTGTTTGTACATTATAGTAATTATGAAATGGCTCAACAAGTGTACTGTGAGAGAGAGAGAGGTCTGGCTACAGCAATCTTGGCAAATGAAAAAATGGTTGAGAATGTTACTGTTTTTTTTCCATAATGCGTAATAATACAGTGAAGGCTGGGTCTGCATTTGGCTCATGCTGCTTTGAAGCGTGTAACATGTAAACACAGATATAAGACTTTGTGATGTTTAGACATGATGTAGAGCCTCTCCACAAGTCCAGTACATATGACTGATATCATTTGCCATAGGGAAATGGAAGCTGTTCTAGTGCGTCTTTGGCAATAGTTTGTGTAAATTTCCTAATGTTTGTTAATAGAATTGTCAATGAATTATTGACTATTTTATTCTTATACAGTATATGCTGCTTATTACAAAGGTCACTTAATGTTTTAAAAAATCAAATTGAACTAAAATGAATTAATTTGCAGTTAAAGTGAAGTGAATGTTTTGTCTGTGGGTTACAGATAAAAGCTTAGACTATTATTTTGTATGTTCACATATAAGTGAGAAAATAATGTAGTTAGTTACTATTAATAATATTCCATTTCTCACTGATATTACCCACAGTTGATACAACTCTCTCCTCTCTTTGTCTACAGGTCTGATTCTTCTCTTCTATGTAGTTTTCTACATCTTCCTGGCCGGTTTGTTTACACTCACCATGTATGTCATGCTGCAGACCTTGGACGACCACAAACCAACCTGGCAAGATAGGCTCACCACACCAGGTGCAGCAACTAATGATACAAAGTGCATGAACACAGGTCACAGTGTGTGTGCCGCCGTGTCGTGACCTCACTGCTGTCTCTCTGTCACTCACAGGCATGGTGATTAGACCCAAAGCAGATGAGACCTATGAGATTGTCTACAACATCCACAAGACTGAGAGCTGGGACATGTACACTGAGACCCTGGACAAGTTCCTGACACGTAAGTCTGCTTCTCGTCCTCTCACACAGTGCTCAAAAAGCTTACTGCTGTGGATTATCCAAAGACCCAGAATGAATTGTTTTTACCTAATAAGAGATAATTCCTTTACAGTCAGCGGTATAGGAGATTGCCTTGCACTGGGGTTTTAGATGAGTCATAAGCTCTTACAAACAAAATCAACCCCCCCACCCCCTCCCTCCCCACTGCAGCCTACAACAACTCCATCCAGGCCCAGAAAAACGATGAGTGCACCCCAGACCAGTACTTCAAGCAGGATGACAGCGGCGACGTGAAGAACAACCCCAAGCGCTCCTGTCAGTTCAACCGCACCATACTGGAGGACTGCTCTGGAATCGAAGACCGTTACTATGGATACCAATCGGGCAAGCCATGCATCATCATCAAGCTGAATCGGGTATGAAAGCGAAAGAGGAAAGAGAGGTGGATGTTGTTGCTAGGAGACATGGAGTGATTGAGATAATATGACTGGTATGGAATGAGGAATAGATAATCCCAGTAAAAGAAAAAAAGTCAGTATCAAGATTATAGATTATTACATTTATTTTTGTTTTCTGTCATATTTTATAGCAATTTTAAACATTATTTTCCACATTCCTGTGTTGGAATAGTTGGGAATGGTGCTGGAGATGTGTTTTCTTTCCTTCTCACCAGGTGATTGGGATGTTGCCAGGAAAGAATGGACAGGCTCCGTATGTCACCTGTGGTGCAAAGGTAATCCCCCTTTGTCTTTCATAATGAAAGGCTTAACATAACAATTTGGATTTCAGCCCATTCATTCATTGTGTCTCGCTCTGATCTGCAAAAAAAATCACCTATTGCTCATCCCCATTTATCTTTAAGGTTTGTGTTTGTATTGTTTCAACTGTCATATCTGTGTTGCATGCCAATTTGTCTTTTTCATCACGTGTACGTTGCTGGTCTTTTTTTTTTTCCTTCCTCTTCATTGCGTTCCTGTAATTTGTCCACTCTCAGAAATACAAAATTGGCAAAGATGAATGGGTAAGAACAGGACAGAAAATGTGTCTTGTAGAGTATAGATTATATTCACAGATGCGTAGCAGTAGTGTATATTGCCGTTATGTGTGAGGTGTTTCGCATTAAAATGACTGCTGTAGATGGTAGATGGTGGGCACATTAGGAAATGAGATTTAGAGAAAAGAAGGTGATTAATGATGCTCCCCTTCTCCTCTCCCACATATATGAAGTGATCTTTCAGGCTATAACTGATGAAACTGTTTCACACCCTCAGACAGACGATGCTGACAAAATTGGAGAGTTGATGTACTTCCCTCCAAATGGCTCTTTCAACCTCATGTACTACCCTTACTATGGCAAGAAAGCTCAGGTAAACCAGTGTTCAATCAAAAAACAGAATATGTTAACGATTGCTGTTGATAACAGAGCAACTTGTTTTGTTAACTTGGCATTTTGCATTTCCAGATAGTTAATTAAAATATCCACCAGATAGAAAACATTGGCTCCTAATCTTTAAAGATGTCATTGGGTCTTTTTTGCAGGTGAACTACTCTCAGCCTTTGGTTGCCGTCAAGTTCCTTAACATTACTGTCAATCAAGATGTCAACATCGAGTGCAAGATCAACGCCAACAACATTCCCACTGGAAGTGAAAGAGACAAGTTTGCTGGAAGAGTGTCTTTCAAGCTGAGGATCAACACTAACAACTAGGTTGACCTTTTCCTCTCTTGAAAACTACTTTCTTCATTCTCTGCAACATTGCACATACACAGAAAAAAATTGCAGTATTCACACCCTTTGTAGGATTTGTTTACAACTCCCAAAGTTTTGGGGAAATTGTCCAGTCGCGTTATGAGACGAGGTGAGGATAAAAGGGTGGTAATCCTGTCATTATTTCTGTCTGTGGGCTTTGGGACAAATTCTTTCCTGTACATTAGTTTGAGGTGATGTCTATTTATACTGCATGACAAACTAGGGAATATAAAGGATGTGAACATGTGTTTTCAAAGTTTGCAAGGATCAGCAACATTACCACTTTATTGCTGCTCCCCTCCTGCTGCCTCCTTATAGAGAATCCCTCTATATATGAATATACACAGATTACAATACAAAATGTGTATATCTACAGTATTTATACGTTATCATAACCTTATGTCAGTACATCTACTTTGTTGCACTTAAAAGAATACTCCAACAGACTTGTGTATATCTTGATGGATGGATGCAGAGAAGAAGCCATTTTGCATGTGTGTATTGTCTTTTGTGTGCTTTGAGGGCAGGAGGCCCCTTTGTCCCACCTCTCTGCTAAGTGTGAAATAAGGTTATGTTAAACCACTGACCACCAGGAGGGACCGCACTCGTATCCTCAAAAACCTCACGCACAGCAAGTGTGTGTTTCGAAAACAACATACAGTAAGTTAGGAATCTCCAAAAAAAAATGGGAGTAACAGTAGAGGTCCAAACCTTTAAGAGTGTGTTTGTGTATGTGTATGTGTGTGTGTGAGTGTGTGTGTGTGTGTGTGTGTGTGCGTGTGTTTATGCATGTGTGTTCCATTCACAGTTCCCATCTCATACTGTAGGTCGGGAAATTGCATGCAATGTGCAATATTCATTAAGTGACAAACATTATGAATGCTTGAGTCCATTCTTCAGATGAGAGGACTCCTATTAAACGATAATTATTTTGGATCATCACACTGGTTGTTTGACCTGAGAGCAGCTTTAAAAAAAAAAAACAGACATGAGTATTTGGTAGTTGCTGGGAATGGTCATATCAACACCACTGATGCCAAATGAACTATGAGCCAGTATATCAATCATGTTTCAGACATCGTGACAACATTACCTTAAGTTAGCAAACACATGAGTGTTTTAGCCCCCAGAACTCCCACTCAGTTAGTGGTGAAACAGAACTTTAGCTCCCTGGCTCCCAGACTACAATTATCAGCAAACCAACAACCATCTCAAAATCATGTGAAAACAGGCTGCACAACAACGTTACACTCCCTGTCATTGTCAATCATTTTATTCCTAAAGTTACCCCAGGAGCAATTTTCTTGTGTCTCAATTTTTAATTAATTTAAACATGAATATTTAGAGGGTTTTTTGTGTGTGTTGCATCTATTTCATATGTATCAGAAATAGATGCCATTGTCATATTTTGTATTGTTTTGCACTGGAAGTGTGCTTCTTTTCTTCTTTTTTTTTTGAGAAGCTGAGTTGAATTAACTAACATATGTACAGTATTGGAGGAAAAGGATGTAGGAAGTTTGTGTTTGTTCCCTTCGTTTCATTCATACTCGTTATCATCCTCTTAAAATATTCATACAGGATATCAAAATGTATAGTTTACATCTTCTTTTAAAGGTGACTAGAGACTTGACTATGTGAATTGTTAGTGGGTCAGAGTTCTGTTTTAGAGGCCTGGAGATTTGCTTCTACATGGAAAAGGATATTTTCTCCATTTGATTTATTTATTTTTTGTTGTTGTAGTATTCTCCACTGTTGTGTGAATCAGGCTGACGGCAAAGCCATCTTGATAACTAGACAACCAGTTTGAGCAACCAACCTCTTTAAAATTCATAAATTATGCCTGAGTTTGGTGCTGGAACTGTTCACTTAAGGTGCATTCACAGGCCCACAAACACCTGCATATATTTGTGGTAGAAATCTGTGGAGTCACACTTTTTAACATTACATAGGCACAGCTACAAAACTGTACCAATGCCATGTCATCACAGCTAATGTGGAACACAAGCATCTGTTCACTCACATTAAGGTCTGGCTCGACGCCACTGCTTAATTTCTCTCCCAGCAGTGTGTTTCTCAATATGCACACAGACATCTCACAGTGGTCTAACAAAGACCTCATGATCAAATCCGTTTTGACAAAGAAAAAAAGAGACAATTGGATCTAATGTGATTATCTGATCTATAGCTGAGGGGTTATTCATAAAGGTGGATGTGCCCTAACATTCATCTGACGCTCTTGTTTTTGCTTTTTGTGAGAGTCCACACTGACCACTTCACATGCATTTCTCCTCTGGCATTCCTACAACACTTACTTAATTTCACTGTAATCTCTTAATCTGGTCGGCTAATCCAGAGCAGGCACGCTGAACTTCTTTACCCTACTTTGTCGCTCCTCCTCCTCCTTGTGTCAGTTGCTTGAGTCGCTATCATCGTCTTCAAGTTGGATAAAGCAAGGTTCATTCCTTTCTCTTTTTTTTTTTTTTTTTAGTGCATTCAGTCCTATTTCCCCATTCATTATTAAATTCAGTGAAACCCTTTTAAATCACAACTCAGCAAATAAAAAATGTTTTGCTTCATCACCTTATTGGACATACTTGTTTTACTTATGTGCATGCGAAGATTTGCTCTTCAACCAAAGATCTTCATGACAGTTTAAATTTTATTTATATTGCTGCTCTGACACATCCTCAGCAGCAGATCTTAGTAAGGATCTCATGCAGGCATACTGTAGGATCCAGGTGGAGGGCAACAGATCCTGTGTTATTTAAAAGGCCTACTCTTATGTAATAATAATAATGATGATGATAATAATAATAATAATAAAAATAATACGCACAAAAGGAACACATTTCACTACAACATAACAGTGCCTCCTGGTGGACAGACTGTGTTGTTCCCCAGTGTCACAGAATGTTATTTCCTGTTGTCTCCATTTATCCATTTTTTTCTGTGATAATTTGGAGATGTCCTCAAAAAGCAATATATTAATTTCTTTTGTGGCTGTATGATGTATTTATTGGAAAGGCTGTAACAAAATTAGTGCGACATGTATCATCAAGAGCAAAGAAAAAGGAAAGAACATATAGAAAATGCATTCAGGCAAATTTGCCAGTGTGTATTACCACGATGGAACGATATACAAAGTATTGTTTTGTTTATAAAAGAGTATTTTTATTGCTATTTTGTTGTAAAGAGGAGAGAATGTATTAGCTTGGATTGTATCATGTCATGGGAGCTACCTGGTAGGTTTTCATCATTTAATTCAACAAATGGCAAAATGTTAACAGCTTGGTTGGAAAATGTTTTTTGTTTTTTATGTAGAAACATTTTTTGTCATTGTTTGAGTCCTTTCTACTTCCTTCAATTGAGCTCAAAGAGGCTTGCAATGAAAGTTCTCTGAACACTGGGGTCTGTTGTATCAGAATTAAGACAGATTAATTAAATGTGCTAAGTAAATGAGAACGAACATTGCTGTCAGAGAACTTTCAAGTGTAGACACCTTCATAAAAAATTCTCAGAACAAAACAGCACCCATAGTAAATGTCAGAGTCAGCTATTTGTGTTTGTAATTAGTAATTTCAAGAAACCTTACCCCCATCCACTCCTCTCACCTTGCATCATATTATTGCCTAAGACTGTGGTGTTCAAGAAAGGAACCATGAAATTTGTTGAAATACTCTCACCCAAAAAAATTATAATTCTATTCTGGATCTTTATTTTTTGCTCTTACTGTATGTATATTTTTGCTCATGTTTACTGCAAACCAAGATAGAGAAATAAATAAATGTCATTTAAGGGAATTTAAACTCAAAATTAATTTTTGCCTCTGCCTCTCAGTCATCTTTCCTTTAGTGTTTATTTACAATGTCTCCATGTAATTCACATCAATCAAACTGTAGTCAACTGGAGTCTGCCCTTCGTAGGGGACAGAAAAAGAAGCCAGTTAGAGTCAAAAGTAGCGTCAGGTGGATGTAATCTAATGTAATCCCATTCACCATAATCCTCACAGCCTACAGCACCAGTGGACATCAGTGTTAACCTATGCACACTCACTGGTACATAGTAACAAATGAAAGACACAAAACCCAAGGAGTAGAGGTCCATGCAGCCATGTGACATGATAGTCTCATGTTCTTATGTGTGAAGTGAAGTAGTGAGAATCACTGCAGTTTATTTTCACAAGAGTATGGAGAGGAAGTGAATACGTGGTGGAAATACCACCCATAACACGTCATCCTCCCACACACATCACGGGTCAAAGGTCACAGATTAAAATCTTGTCTTGATTCCTGTACAACAAATAGTTGTTCTTAATCATAAATACCGATCGATCCAAATCAAGACCATGTGAATCCTTGTTGAGGTTGGACGTTTTTCCTTTGGGAGCTGCTCTAACACAGTCTGCCGCCAACTGCTTGACAAGATTACAGTTGAAGTGTACTTCCGCTCACTGACCTTCAACCAGCTCTTGTCTCTTGTTCACTCTGTGCCCTCAGGCTCTCTCCTTTCTTCACTGTCTCCTCCTCAGAAAGGGAAAGCACAGTCCAGGAAAAGGGAGAGAGCTAGGATTATGTGGCATTAGAGGTATTTGTAGGTTTAAAATAGTCTGATCAAGAGAGGTGCCAGCGACTGATATTTGCACATACTATTCTCCGTGTTACACACGCACACAATAAATTATAATCCTGAGTAATCTGCAACCCCTTAATATTCTTCAGATCAGAACTTTTTTTTGAATAAGCTTTCACATCTAATATATTCTTACAAAGAGATATTATGAGTGGGGAAAGCCTTAAAAAAAAACTGTTCACACTGCCACTGGGCCATTTCCACAAAATGTGATCAGGTAAGAGTGTCACATTGAGCAGATTATATTCACCATGATGTAAGGAAAGTGAAGATTAGTCTGTAGCAGAGTGCTGGAACCTCTGCTGGATGGTGGATAACATTACACAACAGTTCAGTGGCATTTAAATGTCAAAGTTATCACATTACTGGACCAGATTATGTTATGAAACAGGCAACTGGACTGATCCCTTACTCATTTTATACATATTTAATTATTCTGAACATGATACAAAAACTTACAATGTAAAACTGAGGAATTAATACTGAACACCACATTTACTGTGGCGCACCATATAGTCATTTGCTCTGCATATATTCATTTTTTGTGTATTACCTCTTTAATCAGTATAGACTGATCCCAAATTTTAGGGCTACAAGGCACCTAGACCTGGCCAGTCTTGAGGTAGCATTCTAAATCACCAAGCATTAAAGGAGCTATTTGTAAGTTGTGAGAATGCTACATAGCCAACATTAGCATCGACAGCTGTTTACTTTCCAATCTTGCCAAGAGCTTCAGCCATTGTTGCGTTAACTAGAGGTTATAATACATCCTCTGACCAGCACTAGTTCTTCAGGGCAGACTGGACGCTACAGTGACTCACTATCAGAAAGTGACAAGATGGTCCGTCTGGGCCAGGGCTAGCTGGTTAGCATGGTAACATCAATAGAGGAAAAGAAGTGATAGAAATAGGCGCAAAATAAGAGGCTTGCTTTCCACCACTGGAGACAGCTCTTGGTCCATAAAGCAATGAAGACTGACGCTAAAATTGCAACATTAGTTCTAGACTGGTAAATAAACAGCTGTTAAAGCTAACCTCTGCTATGTAGCAATTACAAATATCTCCTTTAAATTCTATTAAAACAGCAGTAATTTTCAATAGCATTTTAACTGTAGAAAAAGAAAATCACCAATCACATATGAGGGTAGGCACAAAAACACAAACTTTACAGTCCATCACAAGATCAGCTCCCCAGTGACATGTGTTACAGTGGAGGTGATCATGTTCATGTTGTGTCCATCTGTTTAAATAATTCACAGTCTGTGTTTAGCCAGCCTAAATACATTATATCAGCTGCCTTAAGAATACCTCTAAGGTGAAGAGAAGTCGAGACATTATCTGATAAAATTTGATGAAGAATGTCTGAAAGCAAACTGACTTTCAGTATTACTTGATTGTTGATACAGCACTTTGGTTGGGAAGAAAAGTATGGCACATTTAAATTTTAGCTGAAAAAATCAAGTATATTCATGTCTCCTCCAGTTTAGACCTCATTAATAGCTAGATGTGACACCATGAGGACAGCACAAATCATGGTAAAACACCAGCAGAGACTATATGTTTGATAGTCCTGTTTTCTATGGCAAGTCCAGCATGCCATTTTCCTCCAGGGCTTTCTGCGTCCTGTTGTAAACCTCTCCGATAACGTGAACTACTCTGTTCAGCACTGCGCTCAGCTCTTCCTGGTTCTGCACACACACCAGCCTGAAGAAGAAACCCCGTTCTGGCAAGGCAATGAAGGCCAGCTCGGCAGCCCTGCGGACAAACCATGTGTGGTGGTTCGCGAGGGTGCTCTGGTAGGCCTCTCGACACAGGTCTGAGGGACTCCTGAGCCGACTAGTCACTGGTGTCTCAGCCAGCTTCTCTAGGAAGAGTTTTAGCCAAAGTAGAGCACGATGCAGACGCAGAAGAGTTCGACATCCAGAGTCCGTCTGGTGGTGGAAGTCTACCACACCTCGGTCCAGTTCAACCCCGATCATGGAACGCACAGAGTGGTAAGCACTAGTGTGCTGTGAGGCCTCTACACTGTTCTTTGTGTCGGCCTCGGTGCTCACAGAGTTTATTGAGTGTACATTTGAGCCAAGCTCTGCTTCAGGGTTCCCCTCTTCCGAGAGGGCCAGTTGGCGGATTATGTTGGTTTTGCTTTCTATCTCTTTAGATATCAGTCCCACCATTGGGCCCAAAGCATCCATAAACCTGGAGGAGAAACACAGAACAAGGTGAATCAGTTTACAGAGTCCAGATTATGTCATAAGCCATAAATGACTTCATTCTCTCTGGTGGCTATAAATGAATCCATCTCTCTCACTGTACTCCTGCTTTATCTGATGATCTTACTTTACAAGCTCATCCCAGCTGGACAGATAGGGCTGCAGCAGCACGTCGGAGGTGTAGGCTGGTGCAGCCAACAGGTGGGAGAGCAGCAGTGACACCTGGAAGGTCTGACCAGGACACCCCTCCAGGATCTGTGAGGCCTCAGCTCCATTAGCCCCACTGCTGTTGGACAGCTGGTGAAGCTGACGGTGGGGGGATGGGAAATATGTGAGTGTGCGGGCGATCGACGGGACAAAGAAAGAGATTCACTACATTCAAATTGCCCATCAGCTTCACAAAATGAATGTATTATGAAGTGTAACAAGTGATTTAGTTTTTGCTTGTTCTCCTTACCTTATTCACCTGATTATAACCTTTTAAACAAGAATCCCAGTGGTAATCCAAACCTCCTTCTGCAGTGAGAAAAGAAACAAGAGAAAGCCAATTAGATTACAATTAGATTTTGGTTGCAGAGGCTTTCCCACTGAAACAGACTTTTCTTCTTAATAATACTGTTGCCACAAGGAGTGCAGTTAACACATCAATAATAAAATAAAATGAAATAAAATAGAATAAAATAAAATATTTATGGGTTTTCATCTCCATATTCATTCTGATGAATTAGTGTTGGTGGGCATATAGATTTTTTTGACCACCTGGAGGCAGCAGAAACAATTGTGAACACAATGTTGAGCTATTACCACCTGTAGGGTAATACAGTGGACTTGTTAGCAAGCTTGTTGCTTACATATCCAGCGGTTACAGAGCAACATTATTATTCATTTGGAGGCCTGTTCCTGGGCACCTGGTGAATGTAAGTCCAACTTTTATTCTCTTTAAACTCTGTTTTTGGTCTCTACCAACCCCTGAGGGAAATGGCTCTTTAGCTGCAAAATGCCCCACTATTCTCACAAGCTAGTTGCTAACTGTGCCTGTTTCCAGCTGCTGCTGCCCAACCAAAACAATAAATTTATAGATCATATGGCTGCACAATGAGCTGAAACTCACTGGGCTGAATAGCTACATGAATTTGAAGGGAGCTGGAAATTGAGGTGATAATTCTCTCTAGATTCATCACAATAAGCGACCCCATTAACATTGTCACATCTTTTTCAAATTCTCATTTGATACATTGATATTATGAAATTATAGAATCTAGCTGCATTAAATTAGACGAGACTATCCTTTCCTTTACACCAGTTCATTCACAAACATCACGTCATGTGACAGATCTGTTATCCTGCCAGCATGAGAAACTGGTTATGAAAAGACTTAGTGTAAGTTCTTACATTCTCGATTAATTCCATTTAGACTTTTAGACATACTGTGCTGTATATAGCACAAAGATAACCATTCTTAAGGCAGCAAATGGCAGCGTGATGTTTAGTTTTAATTGTTTTTGAGCTCATTCCAGCCTATGGCAAAGCAAACCCTGTCATCTCCACTTCCTCCACACACACCATGTGCACAAGTTGTACTGGGATCAGTTGTGGGCCCCAAGTTCTCTAATGACCGTCTTCCCTAGTGCCACAAGATCCATACACACACCATTATTATACTAACTAGATAGATAGATAGATAGATAGATAGATAGATAGCTAGATAGATAG